GTTCCTCCAAGGCCTGTTAGCATTCAGGGGTCCAAGAAAAGTTACTCTTCTTCTTCAATAATGAGAAGAACCGGTGGCTCTTATTAGAAGACCTTAATATGAACCGGCCTAGAGCGGCTATGCGCCCGTTAGCCTCTGAACAGCCTTGACACTATCCACTACGGTGATATCTTATATAGCTTTGATTTTATTGGGATTGATCTCAGTCCCTCGGTTGGACACCATGAATCCAAGGAAATTTTCGGATCCGATCCCGACTGTGCATTTCTCCGAGTTCAGCTTCATATTTTACTTCTTCAGTATGTCGAAGATTTCCTGCAAATGTTTCACACGGTCTCCTGCTTGAAGGGACTTAACTAACATGTCATCAATATAAACTTCCATTGATTTTTCTATTTGTTCCTCAAACATCCAGTTTACTAGGCGTTGGTAAGTGGCACCGGTGTTTTTTAGTCCGAAAGACATTACATTATAACAATAGGTGCCAAATTTAGTGATAAAGAAAGTTTTTTCTTGATCGCCCAGGTGCATTCGGATTTAGTTGTACCCGAAATAGGCGTCGAGAAAGCTGAGTATCTTATGCCTGGCTATCGCATCGATCATGCGATCGATGTTAGGAAAGTAAAAGAGTCCTTGGGGCACGCCTTGTTCAAGTCTTTGTAATCTACGCATATTCTTAATTTATTTGCCTTTTTAGGCACTATTACTATGTTAGCCAACCCGTACGGGTATTTAACTTCCCGAATGGAACCTATTTTATAGAGTTTAGATACCTCATCGTTGATGAATGCATGCTTGACTTCTTACTGAGGCCTCTTCTTCTTTTTAACTGGGTGGAACTTCAGATCCAAGCTCAGCTTATGAGTGGTTATTTCTGGTGAGATCCATGTCATATCAAGATGGGACCAAGCGAAGCAATTTATGTTAGCTATAAATTATTTAATGAGTTCTTTCCTGAACTTAGGAATTAACCCCGTGCCCAGGTATACCTTCCGATCGGGCAAGTGTTCGATCAATATGACTTGCTCCAACTCCTCGACAGTCGATTTGGTGGCATCGGAATTGTCAGGGGTGATGAACGACCTAAGAACTCTGTAATCATCATCCTCGCCTACTTCTTGCTTCTCTGGTTCGGTCGGGGCCGGCATCGATGATTGCTATTTAGCTTCTTCCTTCCTAGCCAGCTCTATGTTCTTTGATGTCGAGAATGCGCACGCCGGGATCACCTCATCAACCGTGAACATTTCTTTTACGACCGGCTGCTCTCCTAAATCATCTTGATTCCTCCAGGTGTGGGGAATTTCAAAGCTTGGTGTAGTGTCGAGGGTATTGCCCTCATGTTGTGAATCCATGGCCTTCTGAATAGAGCATTATACCTCATATCCCCTTCAATCACATAGAACTTTGTTTCCTGAATGGTACCGGCGGTGTTCACCGCCAGGGTTATCTCTCCATTAGTAGTTTTACACGTCATGTTGAATCCGTTTAAAACCTTGGCTGCAAGCACTATTTGGTCTTGCACTCCCAACTGCTCTACGACCCTCGATCTGATGATATTGGCCGAGCTACCTAGATCAATTAACACATGCTTAACTCGAGATTTATTTATGAGTACAGATATTACCAGTGCATCATTATGCGGTTGCACGATGCCTTCAGCATCCTCATCGTTGAAAGAGATGGTTCCCTCCGGTATATAATCTCGGGTTCGTTTTTCCCTTGTGATGGACACCTTAGTGCGCTTCAGCATCGGTCCCTGGGAGACGTCGACTCCACCAATGATCATGTTAATGACGTGCTGAGGTTCCTCTTGTTCGGTCTATTTGTTGGAGTCCATATTCCTGAAGTGAGTTTTGGCTCGATCACTCAAGAATTCCCAGAGATGCTCGTTATTGAATAACCGAGCCACTTCTTCTCTTAGTTGTCGGCAGTCCTCGGTCATGTGGCCATGAGTGCCATGATACTTACACATCAAGTTAGGGTCTCTTTGGGTAGGGTTGGACTACAATGGTCGAGGCCACTTGGTATCTTTGATGTGCCCGATGGCGGACACGATGCTGGCAGCATCGACATAGAAGTTGTATTCTGATAATCTCGGTGCCTCCCTGGCCATGAGTGGCCTACCGAAACCATTTTTGCTTATGAGTCCCCGGCCATTGTGGCCTCGATCATTCCTTTTTTTTCATTTCTCGCAGAGTTACGCCCAGATCTGCTACCCTTTCGATCTCCGCTATATAGTTGGTACCGGTCTCTGTTCGGTCTTGGTTCATGATCGACGACTCTCTTAAACCTGTCGTTAGTTGGGATAAACGAACCTAGAGGGGTGCCTAAGCTGATCATCCTCGACTCTGATTTTCGATTGATACCTGTTATGAACGTCGGCCCAAGTTACCGCCGGGTATTCTATCAAATTTTGTTTCAGCTGCTGTGAAGCCAAGGAGCTTTGGGAGTTGAGTCCTTGAGTGAATGCCTGAACGGCCTAGTCATTCGCGACCGGAGGTAGGTCCATTCATTCCAATTGAAACCTTGACACGAATTCCCTAAGCATTTCGTTATCTCTTTGTTTTACTTTGAAAAGGTCCGATTTTCTGGTCTCGACCTTGATGGCCCCGACATGCGCTTCTACAAAGGCATCTACAAGCATAGCAAACGAATTAAAAGAATTAGGGGGTATGTTGTGATACCATATCATTGCCCCTTTTGACAGGGTTTCTCCAAACTTTTTCAGCAAAACCGACTCGATTTCGTCATCTTCTAAGTCATTTCCCTTGATGGCACACGTGTAGGAAGTAACGCGCTCATTTGGATTCATGGTTCCATTATACTTCAAAATTTCTAGCATACGAAACTTCTTCAGGATCGGCTTCGGTACTGCGCTCGGGGGGAAAGGCTTTTGGATAAATTTCTTGGAATTCAGGCCTTGAAATATCGGGGGTGCTCCTAAGATTTGATCAACTCTGGAGTTATAAGTCTTCACTTTTTTGTCGTTGGCTTCAATCTTCCTTTTCTCCGATTCCACCCGATTTGTCAATTCCTCAAGCATCTTTATTATTTAGGGGTTAGTCCCGAATTCATCTTCACCCAGCCTTTCTGTGGTTTGTTCATTCCTTTGGGTGTTTTCTCGGGATAGTTCGGGCGCAACTTTGTTAGGGGCGCGAATTTTGTTCTGCAGCTGTGCTATCGTCACCTATTGTGCTTGTAACATTTTGAAGATCACCAGCAGATTGATCCCGTCGCCTTCACCATCGTGCGTATCCCGGGCTACTGATCGAGCTCCTCCGCGAACGCTATTCTCGGGGTCGGTCGATAGATTTGCATCGATGGCCACATGTGAGTTGGCATTGATTGGGTCCGCAATCGGGACTCCTTTGGGGTCAACATGGGGTACCTCGTTGCTGGGCATTATATTGTTGTTTTAGCCATGGTGGCCAGACTCAACATCAATGTTCAAGTGGGCAGACCGAGAGTTTTACATTCTTAAGTTGACCTAAAATTTAAATCTCAAAGAACAAGCATAAAACATAGTGCGTTATGAAAATTTGTATCAAATTACCACTATTATCTTTAGCCACACGGTGGGCGCCAAACTATTTACCTTAAAAATGGATAACAATTGAATTTATATGCGGTTTTAAGTATATATGGACTAATTCAATAAAAGTGATTAATGACGTTAGGTAAAGTATATAAAAGATATAGTAAATAGCCAAACCAATGATGATAGTGAGTCTGAGCTCAGTTTAAGACTAACAAGGAACCTGTCTTCGGTTCCGAGCTTGCCCTTATGAAGAACTTATGAACAAAAATAAGAACTTTTGAATAACTTTTAGAAACAGAGAGAACAGAAGTATATTGCCTAGGTATGCGTGTTACAGTGTGTCTAATTAATAATTAACTTTCCCTTTATATAGTAGGGGAGTTTTACCCTAGATACAATTTTAAGAAAGGTAAAAAACTTCCTTTTCGCTAGTCACTGATTTTCCGCCGATACGGGCCGAGATTCATGCCATGGTATCCGATTGGACACGGATATCACGGCCCTTTGTTAATCGTGTGCGACCGTTTGGTAATGCTCTCCGAGGTCTTGGGACTCGAACCGGATCCGGGGGACGTGGTCTCGATGGCTCCGAGGGTAGGTGTTTTTCTCGAACTCTGATACGAGAGGCTCCTGGTTCTGATTATGATTCCTTGAAGTCACGTCCTTGCTCTGTTTGCCTCATCCGAAAATCGGGGTGCGCATTGAACTCGATTTTACTTGTATACAACGCTCTTCGTTGGAAATCGTACTTTTTAATCTGTTAAAACAAATCAGATTTCTAAAGTTGAAAATAACTTAACTTCTCATTTTACTCTTTAAGACCAAATTTTTATAGCCGTACAAATATTTGGCATGTTTGTTAAATTACAAGTTTTGAAAATTTTATAGCTACACAAATATTATGATATGTCTAAAATTAAACCACAAATTTTAAAAGTTTTTTATTCTTTCATAAACTACGTACTTAGTCAAATTATGCTACATAAATTGAAAGAAAGAGACATACAATAACAACAATAATAATGAACCCAGTGAATTCACACAAGTGGGATTTAGGGAGGTGAGATGTACACATCCTTACCCCTCCCCTGGGGGGAGGGGTTGAAATGTTGTTTCCGAAAGACCCTCGGCTAAAGAAAAGATAAAAAGAAGTAATGGCAATAAGTATTAACAACAACAAATAAAAAGATGACAGAATCCAAGGTAGCAATTAAACGGCAATAATAGCAATTTAAGAATAAAGGGACAATAAACTAACATTAATGTTATCGAACTGAGGAAGACAAAGGGAAAAGGAAAAGATATACAACTAATAAAAACAAAAAAATCAATAAATTTCAAAATTTGAATTCATAATATCAAAAGTAAGACAAATTCTTATTAAAAATTTTTAAACTTAATTTCATCAAATTTAAATCTTAAATCTTAGATCCGCCTCTGTTTTGTTCTGCCCTGAGACCTAATCATAACCTGGCATATTTCTTGAGATTCAGAGCAGCATCTTTGACATTTTCTGGTACAGCCATGTTAGTCTTGACAGTAACCCTAGATGATGAAATCAAAATTCTATCTTCTCCCAATTTTGAAAAATTATCACTTTTCCATAATTTCACTTCCCAGACATGAATAGATTTTCCAATATTAAGAGGTGTAGCTTCAGCATAAACAAATTCACCTAGATGAGCACTCTTGAGATGGTGAATACTTAGATGAACTCCAGCTACTCTTTGAAATCCGGACGCCACGTGGGCACCCATACTCGCCAGAGCTTCAGCAATTAATGCTGAAACTCCGCCGTGCAACACCTTGAATGGGTTGCAGCATTTTTCGGTTACCGAAAAATGGCCTGTGATTTTTTGAGAGGAGATTTCTGAGATCTTAAAGCCAACTTCATGAAGTGGAGCATCTAAAATCTCATTATTTGATGGTTCCATTTTTTTTTCCCTTCCCTTTGATTTTCTCTTTGAGTTCTTGATTTATGAATTTATATATATAAAGAAGTTTGTTTATTGGTTTGGAGTTTTTCTACTTTTGCAGAAAACGATAAAAATATCTGATTCTATTAACAAAGATGTATGATGATAAAGATTATGCAATTGTGTTTGGCTAGGTGGTGTATTTAAAGATACATTTAAAATATAATCAAAGTTCACATAATTTGAATCTTGAGATTATTAAATATGAATTGACAACTCAGTTAAAGAAATAAATGACATGATATAATTGCTTCTATTGCACTGATTTTATAAGTTAATGTTATTCCATTTTTAGACTCTTTAAATACATCACCTAAAAAGTGACCGGTTGGTATTTTATACTAGTATTTTTCATATATTTTTTATATATTCAAATTTTAGTATTTCTAAATTATTTTTACCAGTTGCAGTAAGTAACATATTTTGTCATTTTCAAGATTACAAATCTCATATTTCAAAAAGATTTATCTGTAAATATTTTTTGAGTGACCGGATAGTAAAAATTATTTACTGACGATATATATAACTTAAATTCTTAGGTGTAATAGAACACTTGTTTCACATAATCTAATCATGAGAATCCGTGCCAGCTATTTTCTGATAATTCCTGTAAACAGTTCCTACACTATCAAACATTTAATAATTTCCTAGGAGATTTTGAATTGAAAATGTGACCTTTGAAGCAGTTTCTGCTTTAACACATTATAAATTTAATTTGTTTCTCTTTTAATAGGCTTTACACGGTACAAATTCGATTAGTCGATCAATAGAGTTTCAGATATCGAATAATTAAACTAAAGGAAAATAGGAAAAGAAAAATTGAGCCACTTAATCTAACGAAAGAACAAACATGTAGTTTTATTTTGAGTTTTCCTTTCATTTTGCTGTAAAATAGCACGGGCGAGCCACTTTTCGGACTTGTAATTGAAAAATAGCCGGCATTTGTAAAGTCATCGAAAAAAAGTCACTATTTTATACAGAGATAAAATCTGGACAAAAATACCCTAGCTGAAACACGGAAAGTTCTAGCATAACATGCTGGATTATGAAGCTCCTGCGTATAAACTTCCAGCATATTATATTGGAACTTCATCATATTATAAAATTCAAGCACATTATGCTGGAATTGCATATGTAAAAACTTCGAACTCAAACATATTATGCTGGAATTTTTTCGGATTTTAAGGGTGTTTTTGTTCAAATTTTATTTTTACGGAAAAAACTACAAACCATACTTGACACCATAAGTCAAGCTTTTACCATAAATCATGCAATTGTTTTCAGCAAGTAACTGATTTGAAGCTCATCAATGAATTCAAAAACATAAAAAGACTTTCTTGCTAAGATGTAGGCTGGCTCTATTTCTAATTGAAGCTGTAAATTTTTATTTTTCAAATATTTTGAAATAAAGGTAAATCTTTCATCTAATCTTTTCTTAGCTCCAAATGTCACACATATCATCAACAGAAAATTAAGTGTTAGTGTCACAAAAATTCTATAAAAATGAATATAGTACATAGACTACATCTACTGTGCATATGATGCAGGATTGCTATAATAATGTTACAAACAAAATAATTAAGAATCAAAGAATGGATAGGAAATATCCATACCAACACAGGAAAGAAGTGGAAAAAGAAACAGAACACTAGCATAGTACCTATTCAGATTTCCTGTCCATCTTTGTCGACAACTTCCTCTTCATTCTGCTAAAAGGCCCAACCGTCCGGTCCATTATATACATGTAGATAACCTGGCTCCAAGATTTGTAAGATTCTAAGTTTTCGTAGTATTCCGGTGCAATCTCCTTCACCTTGAAGAGCTTGCTTCCAGGAATCCTCGGGAAATCATGGTGCTCGTTGTGGTAACCTACGCTCCATGTCATAAGATTAAGTGGACCGTAGTAGGAGTACGTCTCTTGCTCGGGCTTGAAAACATAATGCTCGGAGATGAAATGACCGGCCATTGGGTGCATTCCACCCCCAACAAAAGTCGACAGGATCAAATAAGCGAAAGATTTCCAACCCCAGAAGTATACCATAGCTCCATCGAGGGATAGTTGGATAATCAAATTGGTGAACTCCCACATGCCGGGTGGTTTAGGTTTGAGAAAAAGAGGCCTAAGAGCATAAAAGAAGAGTTGGAGAATCACCCATATTGATTTCGCTATGACGTTTTTGACAACATGGGCTTCAGCAAGACTTGGGATATCCATATCGATTCCATCGACTCCTTGGAAGCGGTGGTGCTCGAGGTGATACTTTTGGAAGGTAACGGACATGGGAACACCAATGGGAAGGTTGGCGAATATCCCAAGCCAACGGTTGTAAACTGGAGTAGAGAAAGCGAGGTTGTGACTAAGCTCGTGAATGGCCAAGAAGAGATTGTGGTTAAGGAAAGAGCCGAAAAAGTAGGCAACTATCAATATCTTCAGCCAACTTGCATCACGGAGGAAGGTAGCGGACCAAAGCTGAAGCAAAACAACCATTGATATCTGCAATGCATATTTGGAGATCAATAAACAAAACAAAAAAAGAAAATTTTGGTGGATGGTAAAATCTAATTAGTCATGAAAAATCATATGCCTCAAAGCTTGCTAACATTTTAGGTTTCTGTAGCTATTGATAAGAAAAGATTACAAGACAATAAACCAAAGCATTTCGCACAGGAGGTTTTGTTGTCACCATAAGTTAAGCAGTTCACGGAAGACATCAGCGATAAATCATAGCATTGCAACAGAAAATTTGTAAGAAAAGATGCTTCTATCCAATCTGAATGCCATGAAGAGGCACAAAATTGGTAAGAGAGTTCTCGATACATAGTCTGTGTTTTAAGGCCGAGTTCCAGAAAAGGAAGTCAAGAAAATCCTGATTAGTTTTCTCTCAGCCTTATAAATCTTGGAATCAGTTTGACATGAGAGTAGGAGAAGTCTCGTGTGTTCTCTCGCAGTTATCCTTTTTTTCATAATAACAGTGGTGTCAGGGCAAAATTGCACGCGCCTCGACTATTTCACCGGATACCACCTAGCAGCACAGGTATTGGGTAACTATTCACAGCGAGTCTAAATTGACGCACCTTGGGTATTCCACCGAGTACTTGTTACCTCCCACCAATACAAGTATCATGCTATGTCTAGACTTCAACCAGTTTTTAACCATGTTAATACTTCCACATAATTGGTTAATAGAAAATCAAAAATGATTTACCAATGAATCGCGAAATGCTATGGTTCTTACATATAATTTCTGAATTTATTCAGAAGTAATTTGCGTTTTCATGCACCTTTTTTTTACTAGTTATAACGGAAAAGGGTACAACTGGTTGGTATCGACTATCGAGTAACTTTTCACACCAAATCTTGGTTAGATGGGAACAAATCAGCTAGCGTCTCTTGTCTCTGCTAGGATTTAAACCCTTGTCTACATGGTTTTCACCCACTTACAGGGGTGATGAGGTGGACAATTCCTTACTCCAGCTTCAAAGGGGCATCTTTGCGCGAATAAATACTAACTCCTCACTCAACCCCTTACTGGATAGAGCAAGCTTGGAGCACTGGGTCAGGGTGGTTGGCTGAACATTTGCAATTTTATACAAAAAAAAAAGGAAAGAAAGAAACCTCCACCTTACGCAGCAGAGCTACGGGAACCACTGGATTCATCCTTCGAAAATCCAAAGGTTCCAACAGCTCTGTCGTGGAAGGTGGTGATTCTTTTGCCGAAAAGAAAGCCATCCGCCCCGAGCTGGCGCTCTAATCTTGCTCTGTCGGGTAAGGGGTTGAACAAGAGTGAAAACAAAACTAAAGGAAGCAGGACTCTTCCCCCTTATATCCTTTAAAAGCAGTCCAAAGAGAGCTAAACTCTTATTTTTATATAAGAAGGGGGAGAAAGAGCTCCTCTCCTACAAGTAAGTCCACAGGCCACTCCCTTTGATGCATTCTTTCACTGTTAAGTTCATTGTTTTCATTATCAAATTGCATCTACAGTGTGAATAAATACATGAATAACCTAACAACTAACTTGTTGAGAACAATGAAAATGACACCACAAGTCCATGGAACATAACATTATGCAAGTGCCAAACCACATGAATCTAAATGCAAGCTTTTCCCTACTCTCTAAAATGACTGAAAAAGGCAAAAGATTTTACCTTTTTCAAAAAAGTGAAAAAAAGAAAGGATTTTTAATCACTTTTACAGCAAAGTTGAAAGATTGAAATCCTACCAATTTCACAGTTAAATGATGCATATTTAATCAATAAAATTCTGAAAGGAATCCAATATATAGAAACATATTACAATGCCAAATCCAACAGATTCATGAAAACACAATGTATTATAAACAGAGCAAGCCTATATATAAAATAAAAAAAACTAAAATGATTAAAAAGATTCAAACTTTTGGAACCCATGTTTATAATCCAGATCCAAATATGACCCATTAAGCAAAATCATTAATACAACAAATTCATATCAGCATTATTTGGAAAAATACATAAGAAGGGAATAAAAGTTTGTATATTTATGAAAAGGGGAATATACCTTGAGGAAAGCAAAAGGGTCAGGGCCAAAAAGCTGTTTGATTTGAGGGTACTGAGAGAGGATTTGTCTTCTACGAGAAGCGTGAGGTTCATCTGTGTATGACCAAAAGAAATCATTAGCCATTAATACACCTTCTTCTTCTTTATCTTCTCTCTTTTTCCCCTCAAATCCCATTTTTTGCTTCTCTTTTTCTTCTCTCTGTTTCTCTGTTTTGGACCTACCTTCCCTTCCCTTGTATGGCTGTTTAGATTTTCTTTATTCTGTTGTAGTAAAGTTTAATAGCTAAATTAGCGGTTTGTTTTAGATTTTTTAAAATAATAATAACAAGATGTAGTTTCAATAAAATAATGATATTCTGGAAAAGGGCCCACAAAAGAAAACAAACATATGGACTATCTGTCCAAAAAGTTGTTTGACGCTCGTGGGAAGAAAGAGAGACATCATTATAAGGATTTTTTACTATATACATTGTGTTCGGGTAAACTCGGGCTAAAGTTTTTCCCGATTCTCCGATGAAGGAACAAAGGGGAAGCACGGCTCAAAGTGATTATAATCGAGGCCCAGTAACCCCTCGTATCGAAACTCGGAAGGAATGAACAATGTAGCTGCGGTCGGACATGGTGAAATGACGGACTCGGGCCAAGTATAACTTCTCGACCTCGGGGGATGCGATGAACGGTTATGCATGATGAGCAGGGAGCCGTAATATTCGCGCTCAACCGGATATTACGACGCGAATCTCGTTCAGTATCAACTATAGATCAATATTTACCGGAAAAAGAAGATTTTTACCTTTTTTTAGACTTGTACTAGGACTGAAATTCTCATACTTTATAAATGGGAAGGTTTTCTTTATTCTGACACATTGGGACACACAAATCAAAGCTATAAAAGTTTACTTTTATCTTCTAGCTATTGTTCAAGGCATTATTCATTTATTTTTTTCTTCACTCGCGACCGAGCTTGTATCGAGGGTCTAATCGAGGACGAATTTCACTGTTCAATTGAAGTTCAGGCTTGGTCATTACATTGTGATTGGTTTGATCATTTATTTTATCTTTAACTCATTCACCAGTTGTTTTTAATTATTCGTATTGAGTTAAACCACATATCCTTTAAACCACGTACAAATTTAATTGTTACTCATTTTTGGGTAAACAGTTTGGTTTCACCGTGGGGCTAAGGATAATAGTGTTGATTTGATACGAATATCCATAACACACCCTATTTTACGCTTGTTCTTTGAACTTTTAATTCCAGGTTAGCCTAAGGATGTCAAACTCTCAGTCTGCTCACTTGAACGTTGACGTTGAGTCAAGCCATCACGGCGAGAATAATAATGTGGTGCCTAGTAATGATGTGCGATGTGTTGTGTAGGATTGAGAATTGCATGGGTAAGGTCATGGTTCAATTTTGAAGGGAAGGTCATGAGTCCTTAGGCAGTATGGACAATTTCGGACGATTAGGTAAATAATATTACTATCTGGTATACCCTGATGCTAACTCGCAGGTGGCTATCAACATCAATTTGCCAACTGATCCCGAAAATAGTATTCGCGAGGGCCCCCGGCCAACGGCTCGAGAAGCGCACGAAGGTGAAGATGATGGGGTGAGCCTAGAATTTATTTTCGAAACGTTGCAGGCTCAACAAGCGGCAATAACATAACTGCAGAACCAAAGCTACGCCCCTAACAGGGTCGAGCCCGAACAATCCCTGGAAAATACTCTGAGAGATGAACAAGTTGCCGTGGAACCGGGAGAAGTCAAGCCCAGAGAAACTTCTGAGGTGATGAAGATGCTCGAAGCATTAACGAAACGGGTGGAGTCAGGCGAGAAAAAGATTGAGGCCAATGACAAGAAGGTAGAAACATACAACTCCAGGGTCGATCAGATCCCGGGAGCGCCTCCGATATTGAAGGGACCGGACTCCAAAACGTTTATGCAGAAGCATTTCCCCCTGAGCGCGGCACCGAGGCCGATCCCGAAGAGGTATCGAATGCCTGACATTCCCAAGTACAGTGGGACCACGAATCCAAATGATCATGTAACCTCGTATACATGCGCGATCAAAGAAAATAACTTGGAAGATGACGAAATCGAGTTGGTGTTGCTGAAAAAGTTTGGGGAAACTTTGTCCAAGGGGGCAATGATATGGTATCACAACTTGCCTCTGAATTCTATTGACTCATTTTCTATGCTTGCAGATGCTTTCATGAAGGCCCATGCCTGAGCCATCAAGGTCAAGACCAGAAAGTCAGATCTTTTCAAGGTCAAATAAAGGGATAACGAGATGCTCAGGGAATTCGTGTCAAGATTCCAGATGGAACAGATGGATCTGCCACCAGTTGCGGACGATTGGGCTGTTCAGGCATTCACTCAGGGGCTCAACCCCCGAAGTTCCATGGCCTCTCAACAGCTAAAACAAAATTTGGTGGAGTACCTAGTGGTAACCTGGGCCGACGTCCACAACAGATACCAATCGAAGATCAGGGTCGAAGACAACCAACTCGGGGCCCTTTCTGGATATGTTTACCCCATCAGAACCGATGATAGATCTAAGAGAGCCATTGATCAGGAGCCGAGGCTGGTCCGAGATTGATATCAGCCATACAGCGCGGATCAGAGGGGAAACAAATCCAGGCATCACCCAACAAGGAACGAGAAGAGAAGTGACTGAGGACCAAGTGGTCGGGGCCTGATGAGAAATAGCAGGTTTGACAGGTCGCTCAGGAGCAGGTAAGCGACAAAATTATCGGAATACAATTTCAACGTGGACGCTGCAAGTATTGTGTCGGCCATAGGGCGCATCAAAGAGACCAAGTAGACCTGACCGTTGCAGTCCGACCCTTCCTAGAGAGATCCTAATTTTGATGTGTAAGTTTCACGACACTCACAGTCATAGGATCGAATATTGGCGACAGTTTAGAGAAGAAGTTGCTCGATTGTTCAACAAGGGAACCTCCGAGAATTCCTAAGCGAGCGAGTCAAAAACCACTTCAGAAATAGGGATGAAAACAAACAGGTCGAACAAGAGGAGCCTACGCATGTAATCAACATGATCATTGGGGGAGTCGATGTACCCCAAGGGCCAATGATAAAATGCATAAAAGTGTCTATTACAAGGGACAAACACACCCGAGATTACGTCTCGGAAGAAGCTATCTCATTCAGCGACGAAGATGCCGAGGGCATCGTATAGCCTCACGACGATGCACTGGCAATATCTCTGCTTATCAATAAATCTTGGGTTAAGCATGAGTTGATTGATCCAGGTAGCTCGGCCAACATCATCAGATCGAGGGTCGTATAGCAACTGGGATTACATGATCAAATCGTACCAGCAGTCTGGGTATTGAATAAATTCAATATGGCGTGCGAGACCACGAAAAGTGAGATAACTTTACCGGTAAACACTGTCAGGACAACCCAAAAAATAAAGTTCTACGTGATCGAAGGGGATATGAGGCACACCGCGTTATTCGGAAGGCCATGGGTCCACAACATGAGGCCGGTACCTTCGACCTTACACCAGACACTGAAATTTCCCACTCCGAGGTGAGTCAAGAAGGTCTACGGAGAACAGTCAGTCGCAAGGGAAATGCTCGTTGTCGATGAAGTGATCCCGGCGCCCGCGGTTTCAACATCAAGAAACGCATAATCGACCAAAAAAGAAGAAACTAAATAGCAAGCAATCATACCTTCCCCAGCCGAACTGGAAAAATAAGAGCACGGAGCGGACGATGTGAATGATTACAGTGTCGCGAGATCATTCATAGTACCCGATGACAGTGACGCCACTAAATCAATGGCCGAGGAGTTGGAGCAAGCTATATTGATCGAGGACCTACCGAATTGAAAGGTATACCTGGACACGGGTTAACCCCCGAGCTTAGGAAAAAACTTATTGATTTTATTAAGGCTAACGCTGATTGTTTTGCCTGGTCCCATCTAGACATAACAGGGATCCCACCGGAGGTAACCACTTACAAGTTAAGTTTGGACCAAAGTTCCATCCGGTTAAGCAGAAGAGAAGGCCACAGTCAGAGATCAAACATGTGTTCATAAAGGATGAGGTATCCAAACTTCTAAAAATAGGTTCCATCTGGGAAGTTAAATACCCGGATTGGTTAGCTAACATAGTGGTAGTACCTAAAAAAGGAAATAAACTGAGAATGTGTGTAGATTATAAAAATCTAAACAAGGCATATCGAAAGTATTCTTTCCCTTTGCCTAACATCGATCGAATGATCGACACGACGGCCAGACATAAGATACTCAGTTTTCTCGATGCCTACTCCGGGTACAACCAAATTCGAATGGACCCGGACAATCAAGAAAGACTTCTTTCATAATCAAGTTCGGCACCTACTGCTATAACATAATGTCGTTCGGATTAAATAACTATGGTGCCACATACCAACACCTAATAAACCGGATGTTCGAAGAACAAATAGGAAAATTAATGAAAGTTTATATTGATAATATGTTGGTCAAGTCCCTGCGATCAGAGGACTATTTGAAACATTTGCATGAAACCTTTGACATATTAAGGAAGTACAATATTATGCTAAACCCGGAGAAGTATGCATTTTGGGTCGGCTCAGGAAAGCATCTCAGATTCATGGTATCTAATCGGGGAATAGAGATCAACCCCGCCAAAATAAAGGCCATAGAGGTCATCATTGTAGTCAACAACGTCAAGGCACTTCAAAGACTGACCGGGCGGATAGCCGCGTTGGGCCGATTCATCTCGAGACCGTCGGACAAGAGCCATCGGTTCTTCTCACTATTGAAGAAGAACAATATTTTTTGGACTCCGGAATGCCAGCAAGCTTTAGAAGAACTCAAGTGATACCTATCAAGCCCCTCTTTGCTGCACACTTTGAAGGCAGACGAACAACTGTACCTCTACTTGGCGGTTTTTGAGGTGGCGATAAGTGGTGTCCTAGTTCGGGAAGAAGAAGGTACACAATTTCATATTTATTATGTTACTAGAACCCTAGGCAATGCCGAAACAAGGTATCCTCACCTAGAAAAATTAGCGCTCGCCTTACTAAGCGCTTCTAGGAAATTAAAACCATACTTTCAATGCCACCTCATATGTGTCGTAACCTCTTACCTGCTGAGGAATGTCATACATAAGCCTGAGCTCTCGGGATGGCTGGACAAATGGGCCATAGAGATTATCGAGTATAGACCCCAGAGTGCCATAAAATCTCATATTTTGGCAGACTTTGTAGCCGACTTTATGCTGGCCTTAATACTCAAGGTCGAAAGGGAATT